CTGCTGCTGCTGTTGCGGCTGCTTTGATTATTGCTGCTCCATTCACCGCCCTTGACAATGCCGAAAGTGACACTGCCTTCGCTGTCGGGCATGAGAACCGACGCTGCCCTGCCGTTGCATATTATTGGCGGTGATTGAGATGCAGCTGTGAGGTTTCAGTGAGGCAAAAGCCACACCTCCAACACCATGCCGCATGCAGCACGCACCTGTGCGCTGGGCGGCGGCACTGTTGGTGATGTGACCATGGCGTCCGCTGCCACGGCGCGCGTGAACGCCCGCGGACAAGAGCACTTTGCTGCATTGACGCGCAGATAATCTAATAATTGCGTTGAAGTGGTATAAACGACACCGCACGCAGGGATCGATCTGAAAGCATGCCCATGCAAAGCAGAGGTTTATATCCGATGGACAAATACGAAAAGGCTGAAAGCAGGAGTGCATTGACGGTGCCCTGGCTGCGTATCGCACGCCTAGCTCAGGAGAATCCATCCAGGGGCAGTTGTGCCTACAGTACTGCGTGGTCTGCCAGCCTGCTCATCTCGCTTTGCTCATGACCCTATGAGTCAGTGCCTCCCTTTGCAACATAATCCGATCAGGTCGCCCCACAGTCACGAGCGACACACAAAACACGCAAAAAACAAAATGAACCATGCTTGTCCCAGGCTGCCGCTGCAAGGAGCCAGGCTCCCTCGGGTCATGCTATGCACCGCCTACTTTGCCCGCCAAGACGCGCCTCCTTCTCACAGCCTCCCTGCAGCGGCTGGTGCTTATTCTGTGGTTTGCTGAGACTGGGAGACAGCAAACCTTGCATGTCCCTGAGCTGCTGTGGCAGCAGATGGGCCTGCGGCCCGGCAGCTTGAGGTCCACCTGGTGGCTTGAGTTCGCTGATTTGATTGACTCTGAGAAATCCGGATCAAGCAAGAGCTTGATCAGGAGGAAGGGCTTGCGTTGCTTGTTTCACCTGCACAGGCGTATTGACAACAGCTGCTCGGAGACAACGCGATGCGAAGCTACCAGCATGGTAACTGCCTGGTGCCGCATTGTGGCCGACAAAACTGGAGGGGTGCGGGCCACAGACACAAACTTTTTCGAAAGCTGCTGCCAGCTGCGAGCGAAGGTGTCTCGATGATGCAAGGGGTAAAAGGGACCTGCTGTCACCCACTGGGGCAAGGCGGCGCAGCCACGTGCGTCCCCCCACCTCGTACTCCCTGACTGATCAACTCGCCTCCCGCAGCAATGTTCAACTTGGGACTGCATGCAGCATGCCTTGCTCCCTCCCAAGCAAGCTCGGCAGTGTGTTGATGGCCACGCCACCGCCGCTTCAAAATTGAGGCATACAGAATCCTCAAAAACTTGGCCACGTGCATGTGTCTAAGCTGGGGACCTCTTCACAACTGCACAGCCCTGGTGGAACGCCTCTAGTCAGCCATGAGCTTTTCGATCCAGGGCGCTGCATCTGGGAACTCGGAAAGCAGCGCGCCCTCGTCCCCCATCTCAAACGTGCTGAATTCAAAGCCTGCGCGAACGGGGGCCAGCAGAGGGTGCAGCGCGGCGCAGTACTGTCGGCGTTGTAGCGGACGTTTAAAATTGCCTCACATTCTCCGGATGAATTTGAGACTTGCACACCAGCCTTGTCCTCCAGCAGTGGTAACCCTTTTTCAGGCCCGAGCAGTGAAAAAAGCTCACCTGGTGCCACTGTGCAGCCGACAAGGGCGTACTCGGTGCCCTCGCACGGCGCCGCACCAAACCAGGTGCCAGGCGGCACCACGTGCTGCAGCTTCTGGCCGGCTGCCAGGTCGCGGCCCAGGGTTGTGGTGCGGGTGCCGCGAGCGTTGCTGCCAATGCTGTCAGTTGGGTTGAGCTCCACAATGGTGATGGGGCCGCCTAATCAAAGACGACGAGAGTGTGTGTGCGTGCATGCACGCACACGTGCGTGCGTGCGTGCGTGCGTGTGTGTGTGTGTGTGTTGTGTGTGTGCGCATGTGAAGGACTGCGCGCAAATGCACACGCATTTATGCATGTATGCACGCATGTCTTTGTGCTAAGGTATACTGATACGTGCACGTACATGTGAACATTCAAGCATATACTGTATGCACTCGATCACAAATGGTGCAAGGAAGGAAGGGTGCTTTGCGGCTGTGGATGGAGCCATGCCGCAGGCAGCACTAACCTGCCGGCCCGCATAACAACCAGAGCAGCAGCGGCTGCTTCACCCACCCAGGTACGAGTGCCAGCACTCGCTCGCATCCAGCCGGTGCAGCTTCGACTTGGCGCCGCGCGGCAGCAGGTACAGGATGGCGGTTGATGCCGCGCGGCCGTCGGCGACGGCTCTGGCGTCCCGGAAGGTCTCCTTGTAGAAGCCGCCTTCTGGGTGGGGCGACAGCCCGAGCTGGTCCACCAGCGTGGCGACCTCAGGTGGCAGCGAGGACGGCAACGCGCCGCGACCTGCGACTGCCTCGTGATCCACGATCGCTGTGGGTTCCATCGCTGCGGCGAGGCGCTTTGTTATACCAATACCTGTGCAACGGCTGCTGCAGCTGCTTGCAAGCAGGCAGCGGCGCTCTGCGATTCGAGCCGCTGAAGGAGCGGACCGTGGCGTCGCCTTCAGAACAATGGCGCCGACTCCTTCGCGCGACGTGAAGGACTAAGCTCAGACAAAACAATAACAGAAGCTATGGTGCTGGCTGCGGTACGGTATCTGGTCGGAGGTCACACCCACAGTTGGGCACCCCAGCTTGAATGCGGTGTTGCCGACAGAAGAGCCGGTCGAGTGTCTGAGCGCGTCTGGTGCCTTGTATCAATCAATTTTGAACGCCACGACCCAAGCGCGCATCCCGTTTGAGAGTCAGATCGACACGAGTTTCCCGAGCGCTAGGCGTGCAGCGAAGCACACCAAAGACTTCAGGAAACACTAGATTCTTACCAGCGGCCCGGATTGGCTGCAGGCAGCAGCGACAGCCCGAGGTGCAACACGCTTGAAACGCCGGCCGGCGCTGTTCGAACGTGGGGCGGCGTTGCGAGGGCCGGCCGACCTCGCAGCGTGGGCGCGGGAGCCATGCGGATGACAGTGAAGTTTCTGGCAAGGTGAAGTGTGTGCTGCAACGATGCCTGCGGGGCCTGCAGCTGTGATGCACGTTGAGCGCACGCATGCGCCTGCGGCAGCGCTGGTTTTGTTTGTGGTGTTGCAGGCAACAATTACACACATTCATAATTGCAATCATACTCTTTGTGTTTTCCCAGGAAACCCAAGCAGGCAGTTAAGAGCAAGCATTGCAATTGCAAGAACTCAAAATGCTTGAAGCTGTGAGTTTGGTCAGGACCGCAGCTGGAACGAGCAAGTCGTGCCCCGCCACTCCGCCGCACCGCCCTCCGGCCGCCGCAGCCGCCAGCGCCGCCAGGCCGTTGCGCAGCAGCTCTTGCCCCTGCCAAGGCGCCCCGGGCCCGCCGATCCCCGATGCTTGCGGGACCTGCCGCCCTCTTAACAAGGAATGGGCGCGCTCGCCGCGCGCCTGCCATCGCTCCGTACCGCAGCTACTGCGAGTGCTTCGCGAGCGGCCGCTACTGCGACAGCTGCAACTGCCTCAACTGCTTCAACAATCACGAGAACGAAGCGATAAGGCAGCAGGCGGTGGAGGGCATTTTGGAGCGCAACCCAAATGCTTTTCGGCCCAAGATCCAGGTGATTATGAGGAACGACCCCTTCAAGGGCTTTCGAGCCGCGAGGGGCGACACGAGCAGTGGCCCAACGCCCCGCGGGCTTCGCTGCGAGGCGCTCGCTTTGCATGCAATCCGGCCGCCTGCTGATCCCGGTGGCAGGTTCTGATCCCAGCACGATGAATGCGCCCCGACTGCCCTCGTCACCGCCGGGCCACCCTTTCCCCCCTAGACCGCCGAGGGGGAGGCGACGCGCGCGGCCGACGGCGTGCGCCACTGCAAGGGCTGCAACTGCAAGAAGAGTGAGCGCGTGCGGGCTGGTCGGTGTGAGGCGGCCTCTGCGCCCGCTTGCCTCGGTGCCTCGTATCTGACACACCGGCTCCCCCGAATCGGATGCTCCTGCGACCCCTGACACGGCCCGCGCGCTCTCCATTTCCGTTTGTTCATTCCTGCCACCCTCTCCAGGCGGCTGCTTGAAAAAGTACTGCGAGGTGGGCAGCGGCTCGCGGAGGGGCCCGGCTCCCGGCCGGCGGCGGCGGGCCGCAGTGTCGCCCCTGGCAGTGCGCCCGCTGCGTGGGGCCGCGGCGTGATCGAGGCTCGTTGGCAAGCTTTGTCGGCGTTCGCTCAGCTGATTATCCTGGCACTGCGGCCAGGCGCGCGCCTGCGGCTCGCGGTCGCGACCCCCACGGGTTGGGCTTGCGCGACACCGCCCGCTTCTCCCCTCCCATCCCGTTCGCAGTGCTTCCAAGGCAACATCTACTGCAGCGAGATATGCAAGTGCCTGGACTGCAAAAACTATGAGGGTTCTGAGGCGCGCGCCCATGTGACGCGGCTGCTGGGGATCACTGCCCTCCCCGTTCCTGGTCAGGGCGGGGG